AAAATAGTGCTTCAAAATGCATTTAATTTTTTCTTCGTATACATAAAAAATGTGCTAGAAATGTTGCACTTTTTTAAATTTATCATTTATTAAAATATTTAAAAAAATTTATGATTATTACATTTGAAATAATATACAAGCTGTCTAAACCTTGTTATACCTGCGTAACAAAATTTTTCCTTATCTGTTTTTGGTTATACATAAACCAAAAAAAATAAGATAAACGAAAATAAAAAGAACAATAATCCTGAATTTTTAATAAAAATATTAAAAAATTTTAAAATATTTTTACAATAGAATGAAAATAAAAAAATACTGTTAAATTTTAGAAATACCGCCAAAAAAAGAGCACAGAAAAGAGTAAGCTTCAGATAATAAAATATGGATGAACAGCCAAAACAAAATTCATTTTAACATTCTAATTTACCCTTTAATCATTTAATAATTTTTAACATTTTAATAATTTACATGTTAATTTGCATCTTAAATTGACATGTTAAATTAATTGAATGAAGATTTTTTTTACCTTCATCTAATTTTTAAAAATTTAATTTAGTTTTGCATGAAAACTGTACAGCCTAAAATGATTAGAAAATAATAACTCAAGTCGCGTTTGGCTGCCAGCTTAATTTGCCCTATGAACTCATCACTACGTGGCTCCTCCCTGCGTTCTAATTAATTTATTATCATGACCTTACTGTAATTGATTAAAACAAATTATACCTTATTTTTACCTCGAACTAATGTTATTAAGTAATCCTTCAGGAATAGTGAAAAGTTCAAAATTCAAAATTCTCTGACGAAAGCCATTTTTTAATGTACATTTGGCAGAGAAAAATCTTTCAGAATTCCAAACACTCCCAAAATCTAAGTTAAATTAATAAAAAAAATCTCTTTTTGTAATTTAAAAAAAATCAAGTTAAAAAACCTTTTATTTGAAAAGACTTTCAAAATAAATGTCAACTCAAACTAACAAAATTAACTTTGTTATTAAATTTTGACTTGAATTACCCAAAAAATAACTATCGATGTTTATACAAATCCATTCAATGCTTTGCAACAGGGGCCTATTTAATAATTTTCAAATCTACATAAATTTATCATCGCAAGTCCAAAGTCGTTGTAGTGTTGTTCATATGCGAAATCTGGTGTTGACGTCTTAATTTTTATTTTACCCGTTTGACTTTAAGAATACCTTTTGACAAAAATAATTCTTAACTGTAAATATAATTCCAAGTGATAGACAAATTGAAGAAAAACTTAATTTATAGGTGCATGTAAGATTGTAATTAAAAATCAGTAGTTTTTTTTTAATATGTAATAAAAAAATATAAAAATAATGCGCTATTTATGAGAAAAGTCAAAATATTCAAAATTTACCATTAATTTTACTTTTTGCGTATTTCGCTATAAGTCAAGAACATTTTAAGCTAATAAAAAGATTTTTACATATTTGGAAACATTTTTTAGAAAGGATAATTACATTCAAAAAATAATTTTGACAAGTATTTGTTATTTTTTAGTACTTTAATTAAAAATAGTCGAAACAAATTTGTATGCAGATTTTCGCATCTATTTAAAAAATGTAATTTAATACTACGAAATATCAAATTGAAACGAAATTAGTCAAATAAATCTGGAGAAATCGAATTTTAAATATACTTCTTTTTTTTCATAATTCTGTTTCTCAGGAAGTATTCAACCGATTTCATTCAAATTTTATAAAATTACATTAATATCGACAGAATTATTATTTAGCTTATTTGATGCCCCATCCTTTTAAAACATTAAAATTGAGTCTTAATACTGCAAAATTCTATCATTAAATAAAAATTATTCAGTGTTCCGTTTTTTCCACACTGTATCTTAGAAACACCATATAAAGGACGAATTTATTGTCAGTGAAAAAAAGGGTAGGAAATTTTATTTTAAATCTCGACTCGAAAGGAATTATTTTGGACATAGAGGTCACTATGTTCAGAAGAGGAGTAATAAGTCTATTTAGTAATTTCTATTCAAAAAATATTTTAGTAAATAAAATTCTACACACATCTTTTTTTCTTAAAGCCTCACAGATTGTGATGGGGGGGGGGGAATATTTCTGCTGATGCTTCATTTCCGTCATTTGCAATTAGCAATTCATCCTCATTTTATTTGTTATTAAGATATTAACTTTCAGGAATTAAAATCAGCTTGTTTTAGTTTTAAAAAAATATGGATTGCTGTTATTATTTAGTTATTTATTCATTTGTTTATGCTTATGAAAAAATTTTAAACCCGTTGAGAAGTAAGCTCTTAAATTTATTTTAAATCAGTCGAATAATAATTAGTTATAAATGTAAAACCTGTACTGAACAAAAAAAATCATTTAGTTTTATAATGAAATGTTATCCTATCAGAATGTTTTCTACTACTTTTTATTGGTGTGGTACAAAATTTTTTAGAAATTAGTATCATTTAACATAAATATGACTTGGATTGCCTAGATATAATATATAAAACTTTTTGAATTATCTGTCATTTTTTTGTTGAATTGTTAAAATCCTCTCCTTAGAACAGTTGTTGCCAAAATAGAAAGCGGAATACCCACTATTTTCAAAGACATGCTTTTATAGATTAAAGCAATAACAAGACTTGAATTCGTTACATTCAAAAAATGTCACTAATTGATGAAATAAACAAACATTAATCTTTTAAGAATTTAATATTCCATCACAAGCATGAATGTAACAAATCACATTTTTTGCCATGCTTTTATTTTAAAAGCATCATATTAAACAACAAACAGTAGTTAAACAGCGAATTTTGAAAAATCTTAATCTAGAAAATGCAATTATAGAAACTTGTAGAAAACTTTTCTAGACTTGATTTAGTAGTTTTGAAGTACATACCTATAAAACTATTATTTATGTTTAACGACGTCTATGTTTATCGTATGTTTAGCGTATATATTTTGAAACTAGCTTGAAATTAATTAATGTCAATAATAAAAGGTATAATTATGCGATACGTTTAAAGAGAGAAAAGCTAAATATAGCCATGAAATTTTTATGGGCTGTGCTAAATTAACTTCCTACGAGATTACTTCTTCTAAGATGGCATTAATTCTACAAAAACCAATCTGGCATATCATTTACTTAATATTTTAAAATATTCATATTTGTGTTCAGTCATTAATCTGCCGGTAGGTTATTTTTACGATTTTCTTCTGAACTAATGAAAGTAATCTTTAATAATTGTAAGTGAGCTATCTGTCAGCTTTAAGATTTGCAATTAAAATAATATTTTTCACACCGGTAATTTCTAAAAGAATATCAAGTTATTATTATACTCTTAAATTGTATTCAATATGAGAATATTTTTATTCGAATTTCATCTTCACTGTAAAAACCTCAGTATTAAATTATGGTAAAAAACACCTGCACCTGAGTGCCTGAGTGCTTTCATTTTTGCACTTTTTGCAATGTACTTTCATTTTTGCCAGAATATGTTACGGAACAAAAAAACAGATTTACCGTAATTTTTACTGCGACATATATTTAATGACAGTGATTCAATGAATCTATGGTAATGATTACTGTAAAACTTACAGCTTAATATTTTACGGTAAAAATGGATTTTACAGTCAATTGGATTTTACGGATAAGGCATCTAAAATTCCAATGCTTTTATCATATTTTAATTCGGAATTTTTTACAGTATAGTAATGCTGCACCTATAAAATAAATCTATTTAAATTTAAAAAAATAATCCTATGTATGAAAAGCATCTTACATTTTAAAGCAAGATATTCGAATCATTTAAAAGTTTAAATCACGTAAAATACCTTTTTTACATTTAAACCAAATTAAGTGGAAAAGGATGGTTGTTTTAACAATTATTTAAATGTAGAAATTTCGCCATTTTTGGAGGATTTCGAAAAATATTTTTTTTGCCCCTAATGATTGTTTTATTTGATTGATTTATTGAAATTTAGCTAAAATTAATTTGCTTATTTTATGAAATTCTCCATAAAATAAGGTGCAACCTTCATTAAATACACCTTCACCCCAATTTTACTCTAAGTAATAATGTATAGTGAGTAGGTTGTTGGAAATTTTAGCGAGTGTTCAACCACTGTATTATTCAAATATAATGCAACCTTAATATGGTGCTAAACTGAGCCATATTATCATAATTCTTAAATGTGATTACACGATATTATGATTCAAATTAAACGGAAATATGGTACAAATTAACACCTTGTCGTAGTTACTGCAAATTTGCACCGTATCATGCCATAAAGTTGAACCGATTTTTACAGATAGTGTTTTAATTAACCTTTGGAAAAAAGCATGTCAACTCAGTTTTGAAAATGTTTTAACACTCTCAATTTTTTAATAAAATATCTTTCAAAAGTAATTTAATAAATTTTTCCGTTGTTCCTTTTTAATAATAATAGATATTATTATTTTGGTGATAAGTGCTATTTTTATAAAGACAGAAAAAGTCACTATATCCCGGTGTTTTTAAAAAAAACATGAATCAACTTAAAAGTACAAATTCAGACATTGACTTACAGTTGTTACGACTTACAGATTGTATCTCAACTATTTTTATTTGTGCTTAACACAGGGATTTCAATTTTTGTTTATTTTCTTAAAGGTTACTTTGTAAAAAAATCTATTGTTTGTTAATTTAGTGACTGTATGTAGCATGTTTAACATATTTTCTGAGAGTTTAAAAATCTGAAATTTATTTCAAGACATCATCTGAATTCGAATAATGTCACGGATAAGATAAATTATACATATTCAACAAATATTTCCCATTGTTTGCTATTTTCGAAAACTATTTACTCAACCTTCATCTGAAAAAGGCCGTATTAACTAAGATAGATGCATCACTGTTTGAATCAAAGCAACGCATTTTTTTTTAACCTTTCAAGGTTCTAATCAGTTTCTCTCTTCTGAAATGACAATATCGCATAACTTTTTTTTTCTTATGCCTCTCGCGTTAAAATAACAAGAAATCCTCGAGAAAAGGTATAAAAGAAACAAAGGAAAAGAACATATCGCCGCGAACCATAAGAGGAAAAGGAAAGTGAATTCCGAAAGGTATTCCGAAAAAAGTGAAAGGAAAATGGAACTTTTTTGTACGTCCTGAAGAGCTAAGAGAGTGAATTTTAAATCCAGAAGCGACGGATTATGTCGTACAACAAATATTGTAAATTAGCGTTTGTTTCGCTTGAATCTGTGCGACCATTTAACACGTCATTTGGCCTGTCGTTACGCTAGAGGTGAATAATCACCCGCATGGAACAACAGAAACACACTCTTATGTTGTTCCATTTGGAAGACTTTTTCCTGCCTTTTCAACCATTCGAATGTGGGTGTTACAACAGAAAAGAACTGATAGTGTTTGGGTAAAAACTTTTACCTTTTGGAAGATAGTTTTTCACCGTTATGGCTGCTTTTTGGTTATATCTTGGCCATTATTATGTGACGACAGCTTCCAAACGATAATTGGTTGAGTTTATGCCGACAAAATAGTCATTAATTTCATAAACTGCTAAACAAATGGAAGTTAAGTTATAATAGCTTGGTTCTAAAACCTTATTTTGTTCCCTATCTTATTTTCATTATAAAATCAATACCATCTATTGATTTTGCCATCTTTGTTTTGACAGTTTTCTGTTGTTATCTCAGCAAATAAAAGATGCTTTTTAAATATTTTCTATGCAAAGGGATAAGGTATTAATACTCCTGGAAATCAATTGGAATACTTTTATTTAATTTATGGATCATTTTTGTCTACTTATAGAAATTTTTGGATAATTAAATAATATTTTCTATATTTAAAGTCATGCATATTCTAGTATGAATCATAGAAAAAATCTGCTGGATCCTTTACAGTTCCTTGCTAAATCCTTTGAAGCTGAAATAAAAACTCACAAAAATATGGGATGAATTTTGAACTCAATTCTTACATTTTAGCATATCATACTGCATGAGAGTTATACAGCTGAAACCTTGAAATTTAGCTTTTACATTTGATTTATGCATCGCTATTAAAATCTGTGACTCAAGTTTGCGAAAACATGTTTTTCAAAAACTAAAACTTTATTATTATACAAATGGATACAACAGCACTAAGAATGACAAGTTTTGCAAAAGCAATTGTTATTTGTGCAATCCTTCATATGCTGTTAACAATGAGAATTACTGATTCGAAAAGTAAGTAAACTTTCTATTTTAATTTGTCACATTATGTTTTTCGTAACATTTTTGTCTTTTTACTTTTCTTTTTTCAAGGGAGGGGATAATACAAACTCCACTGCATTAATTTTCCATCGTGAATCGTACAGTAATTAATAAAATGTTCATTTTCCTGAAATTATTATAGATTTGAAACGAAACTTTAAAGATGTTCAAATCTTGCTACATAAAGCTCATACGCTATCATTTTCTCTTTACGAAGCAAATTCTTCTTTATCCATTTTAAACGTCTTAAATATTTTAAACGAATAAGTCATTTTAAACGAAATAAACTGTGGGTGTTCAAGTTTAAAATATTGCAGTTTTTGCTTCATATTACTACTTCAAATCAACTCCTATTACTCATTTGAAAACTGAATAGTTTTTTTAGTGTTAATGTGAAAAAATGAAAAGGAACCCGAAAAGTGATTTCAATCCGAGTTATGATTCATCCGAAAAGTTTGTATTTTCCCTAGATATCAGCTTACTATTCAAAACATCGTATTTACTATATAAAAATCATGGTGTTTTTTTTCCAAAAACACTCTTATAAGAAATTTTTAAGTATTTCTGATAATTTTATTGCTCCAAGTCTTTAAATTTCAAAAATAATTATTTTAAATTCTCTAAATAATCGCTTAAACTGTTTTAAAAATAAGCTTAAAGATGCAAATTACATTCACCATGACTAATTTTCCTTGCTAAATGTGTGAAGGAATAATTGTATTTAGTTATATTAAACTAAGTGTTTCAAAAGGGTTAATCAAATTCATTAACTAACCGTAAAATGATTTTAAACTCGATTCACCTTTGATAAGGCTTAAGTTGTGTTTTACTTATTTCGTTTGAGTTTGCGATCAATAATTGGTCTATTTTGTCTCAAATTGGTCTTGCTAATGTTGTTGTAGTGCGCAATGTAAAAAACGTAACACTTTAATAACTGTTGATGTAATGATCGGATTTTCAGGTACTAACATGCAATCTTAATAGTTTGACTGGTTGACTTTAAATATGCTAATTAATTTACGCAGATGATATTTTAAGTTAAGAATCCAGGAACAAAACATACTTCCCCTCGACAAACTTACCTATTTTTCAATAGATGTCACGTGTTTCTATAAAATGGATATCATTCAAAAACCACTTTAATTAAATTGAAAATTAAAATAATGCCATCATACCAAGTGATACTGAATATAATTAATATTTATTTTGATGCGCTAAAAGGGAAAACAATGGAAGAAAAGGTACTTATTCATTTCGGGAAACCATAAAAAATCACCGTGCTATTATTGGTATCAATAAAGCTTGATTAATTTTGATAATAGGTATTGCTCATATTGTGGTAATAGATGCTCTTTGAATCGGCAAGAAATATTTCAATAAAAATTTTTAATATAGGTACTAAGGTACCTAACATATGTACTGTAGCAATTAGTTTTTTTAAAGATCCCCTGAAGGAGATAAATGCCGGAAAAATTTCTTGATTGTGTTTAATTTCGACTGTTACGAATTGGCTTCGAGCAATAGCATTATACCAAATAATACTCGGTATAGTTAATATTTATTTTGATAGAACGAACCTTTTAAAACGTGATTTTCTTAATATCATAACATAAAACCACTGGGAAATGCAACAAAGAAAGTTTGGCAATCAAGAAAATTCGAACATGATTTATGATTTTTTTTTAATTACCAATCATTAATAATATTAATCTACACTCTCTGGAACATTATAAAACATACTTCAGCGTGAACCTAACATACATTCTATGAAGTAATTAATCAATGGGTTAATTTGGGCAGAGAAAAATATCCCTGTTGCCTTCCTGTGGTATTTTATTATTATTATATTTGACGGATAAACTCCTTCAAAATAAATTTTATTTGATAAATTTATCCTCCATTAGTCAGTTTAATAATAGTTATACTAAAGAATAATAATGACAACTAGAATATGAGATTAAAATTCTTATGATAAATTGAGCATATATATTACGGCTAATGGAAAATTGATTATATTTTCAGAGTAACTTTAGTATATAGTTATAAAAATATTCAGAATTACTCGTATACATTTTCTGTGCTTTTTGTTTATGTTTAAAACTTACTTTGAATGCTCCCCAGTAAAGTTTAGGGACATAGAACAGAATAGACATTTCTTCATTGAGCTGTAAGTTCAATAATAATATTTACAAAATGAAATTATTGCTTTTAAAATGTGTAATTGTAAGGCTTTAATAGTTTTTTCAAAGGAAAATAAGTATAAAAGAAATAAATTGATTAAAAGCACATAATGTCACACTTTTTAGAAAATGACACAAGTACGGTTTTTTATTTTTTCACTCCATTATTTTCTTATTACGAGGAAAGCAAATATTATTCTTTTTAATCAAAACACAAAAAACTGAGTGGATTCTTGCGTAAAAACCTTTTTTTCCCCTTTTTTGCGAAAAGTAACTGTTGACCACTAAACTATGACACTTGTTTTTTTTCCTAAAAAATACCAATTATCTTGTTTTTGTAAGTTTGCAAAGCTTAATTAGTTTTGCATTAAAACAGATTAAATCTGACAACTTTTCTATAGAAAAAAATGAAAAAAAAGACAAAGCTTGCGCATTTAGAAAAACATTGATTATGGCACAATTTAGGTTATTTTTCATTTAAATAAAAATTTAGACGTTCTAGAAGTATTTCAAGTTATCTTCCTACCAAATAAAATAATAATCTATAATAATTATGCATTTAAATTAATTGTGAATATAACAACAAAGATAAAAATTATGAATTATGAGAGGTAAAAGTTATTAAATATTTTTTGCATCGAGCATTTGACCCAATACATAAAAGTGTCATACTACTTATGTAGCGGTATTGGTTCATTTAAGTTTCAAAAAAAATTATTATATAATACAAATGCAATATACATCTTCCAGCTTTTGTAGTTTTCTTCAATAAAATGAGTGTTTTTGTTCGAAGAATGTGCGCATATATTTAAAATTCATGAAATTCGTTTCTTAATATTTTCAAAACACTATATATTTTTATAACTACTTGAGAAATGATTTACCTCTCCAAAAAAATTTTATAATCTTTCTTCAAGCAAGTATAGAGATTAAATTAATTGGAAAAATACACTTTATACATTCCTTAAGACTTTTAGTTGTTTATTTTTAAACTTTTATTTCCATAAGTTTAAAATAAAGGTAAAAATTAGTCAAAATGCTATATCATAAAAATTAATTGTCAACTTACCCTTTCATACGTTCTCATTCGACACTTATTTAATTATATTTCCCTGAAAGTTATCAATTTTTCTCTCTCATTTTACCACATTTACGTTAATAGTTATTTATGAACCGTTCTTAATATTATCATCTGTTATTATTATGGTTTGAAATTTTGTAATATTCCAACTTTTAGGCTTAAAGCTAAAGGTAAAGTTCCTTCAATGTATTATGAAGTAAAAATATGCAGTTATCTCATTACGCTACATTTTGTTATAAACAAACTAATCAAAATCAAAAGTTATTTTGTTTTTTATTAAGATATTTAATAATTCACTTATGTTTTACAATTTTTAAATGGTAAGAAAGTTGGGTGGGATTTTGTAATAAATGCTATGTAAAACTGTAACCAGTCAGCGCATGCAAATAAAATAATGAATACAAATTAACTACTTAAAATTGAAAAGTAATATAAGAAATTAATTGCCCGCCCTATTGCTAAATAGTCGCTTTAGCGGAAAACATTTAATAAGTTTTTATAGTAACCAAAAACTAAATACGAATTCCAAAAAGAATTTGTGAATTAAGAAACAATTCAGTGGTAATTGAGCAAAATGCTTAGGTTTAAATTTTAACTTTTATTCCAATAAAATCAATCTTTTAATCAGCGAAACATAATTCAAGTCATTGCAATAAACTATTTGGTACCTTTTTATAGAATAATTTTTAATTTTGATGTAACAATCTTTACATCGGCAGTAAATAAAAATTATTGCGTTGAATTCGAGTATGGAGTCACTAAGTATAAGAACGAAAACTGAAAATCGTTGTTTTCACCACAGTATTTCTAAACTTCAAAAGTACTAGAAAGCTACGCATCGAAATTCGTGATTAAATTCTCAGCCTTGTTTTCAAAAATATTTTCCATAATATTTGCTAGAAACGCTCGAGACTGTTAAAAATAAAATTATTCAGCTTCAACTGCTTTTTAAACAAGTGAAATCTTCCAGTTTATTTATCTTCCTTGGCAGCAAATTTTGGCTATTTCTGAATTAAAATTCTATCGTAATACTGGTAACGATTTACATCACTGCCCAAAATGCTTATTTGGCGCTTATTCAAAACATTTGGCAACTGTAAAGCTGTCACTTTTACGATTTATGTTTCCAGTCGCAGCTTTTTGAGTGGTACGGATTGAACTCAAACATTGCGGAGCTTTATTTAGCCAAAATAATAAAAAAAATAGTCACGTGATTTTACCACAAAGATTGGTCAGGTGAAATAGATTTAAGAGGAAAACTACTTTTTCCTGGGAATACGCTTTTCTTTTTAAAATATGCTATTGCATTGCTTGAAAATTGTCCTTCAAATAAAATTTAGGTTGCAAAGAGAAAAAATTGAATAAAAAAACACACTTAGTTAGAGAATGCGCGTTTTTGTTTATTCCTTAAATATGTTTCCGTTAATTAATTAAATTTAGCGACTAAATTATTTTTAAAAATACATTATTTAGAAAAAAAATGGCATTTTTTGTCCTTCCTCAGAACAAATTCACTGATTGAATCATTACAGAATTGGGGAGCTTTAGCTTCTACAATGATAAGTCACATTTTGAAATTGTTGGAGAGAACTATTTTTTTCCAAGATTTTTTGAAAGACAATAAGATATTCATGAGCATTGTGAAGTTATCTAGTGAAAATTCTGGTACCTTTTAAATTACCAATGTGGAAACAATGCCAAAGAATAGTTTG